GTTTCATCCAAGTTTGTAACTCTTCAGTGATATCCACCACCACCAGGATTCGAACCCAGGACCTTCTGGTTACAAGGCGAACTCGTAAACCAATAAGCCACTTGGACCCTATCCAATGACCAGTGCATGAAATCTAACTTCTGCCAGTTGACGACATAGCGTGACCGCTAGCCTATTATATGGAGATGTGAGAAACCTCTACCAACTCGCCATCAGGCTAGTCTTAGAAAACCTTTTCCATTTAGAGCGAAAAATGGACGGATGAAGAATGTTGTCTCTTGGATGGATAGGTGTGATGAAGACATATTTCTCACCCCCAGTGAATAAATTAACCGAAATTAATCCTCATAAAATGGAGTTAATATAAGAAGAGAAGAATCAAAAGAGAATTAAATTTTCCTACGTTCAGTTTTACCAGCTTAGGATATTGATATTAGAATAGAACTTGTCCACTTTGGTAGAATGTAATTCCACTGTGGATAAAATTTATTTTGATAAAGTCTCACAGCTTTGGTGTACAGTAATATTTACTGATGACCACGTTTCGAGCACAAATTATTACTACTGCTCATAATCATATCAAGGTACTCACTCACACAACTTTCTAACTTCGTTTATTGAAGAACAGAGAGAATAATTACAGAATAATGAAGAAATGGTTAGTTAAGTGTCTAACGGACCTAGCAGTAGCACTAAGTAGTACAAGAAAAGATCTAAATTACGAAATAAAACAGATAGAAGAAGCAATTGGTGGATGGTGACTAGCAGTGGAATCCAGGATGCTCATTTCGTCCTATTTGGGACTCGTCAGCTGGATGTACCTGCATTTCTCAGTGAGTGATAATGTTCCCACCGAGGCTTGAACCCAGATATCGTCGAAGCATCTGCACAAGAAGCCGACATGTCAACCTGAGACCGAGCACTTCGGTCCAATCAATCGACGGGAAAATCAAAAAATCCAATTCAATAGATAGAAGAAGCGTTGGTGTCAAATAACTAACTATCCTATAAAATTCATTAGGAAGACCAGTGAAGGCCAAAAGCAAAATAAAAATAAATGTGAAACTAGTAGTGATAACATAAATAAGGGAGAATATAAGTCATCCACTGTTATACCATATACGGAGGGGACATCTGAGATCCTACGTAGGATTCTCAATAAAGCAGGAATTAGGGTCGCATTCTTACCTACATATTCACTCAGGCAGGGATAAGCTCTGTAGTTTAAAGGAACATGTAGGTTCACACAATTAAACAAATAAATATAATTTACAAAATACCCTGTAATGACTGTGAGTAAGGTCAACTACATGGGTCAAACTAGTAGATCGAGGGTAGTCAGATTGTCGGAACATAAGAATTTAGCTAAGGTAAGAATGACTGCGTCGGTGGTATAGCGGTTGGGACGCTCGCCGACCATGCATATGGTCCGGGGTTCGATTCCCGGCCGACGCACTCCCTTACCTCGCTAAGCCAGAAATAATGCTGGTAAAGAGGAAAAGTTGGGCATGAGGCTAGCAACCTCATCCTGTAAAATAAACACTGCTACAGAAACTTCAAGCAACTAGCTTGAAGCCCTATGTTCCGCTGGGGAACGTGAAGGAAAAAATTATTAATTATTAAGAATGACTGACCCGGAGACGATAAGCAATTTAGAGAAAATCTCAGTAATTGCACTACATGCAATAAAGCAAAACCACACAATAGGGTGGTGGCAGAGGGTTAAAACTCGAAGAAGTGATCTAGGTAGGTGAGCAGAGAGGTTGACTACTGAATCCTGATTCACTGGGTCTTCACCCAACACAACACTTGCAACAGAAATGACTCAATGCGAATACCAGAGATATGAATTGAAGATATTATTACCACCATTCAGTCAAATCAGAAGAGGATAATAAATCATCTCAAAATTCTATTTCAGTTCAGCTGACGTACATTACAACCTTCTAAAAAGTTACTTATTATGACTATAAAAACACTCATCTTATTTCCCATCTGACTGTAATTGATCAATAATACTCATATTTATTATTATTATTCCTGAATGTACATTATTCTGTATTGATGTTTATTCAATGTCTGATCATCAATTCCACCCATGTATATAAATAAAGCAAGAAAGTTGTGTGAATGAGTGACTTGATATGATTATGAGTGGTAATTGTTTGTGATCGAAACGTGGTCGTATCAGTTAATATTACTGTGTAATATAACTGTGTGATTTATCAAGATAAATTCTTATCCATAATGGAGTTAGTTATACACTACCCCATAATGCCCAAGTTTTATACTTATATCAATAGTGCACCTACTTATTATTGATTTTTTTATTCCTTTAAGTTCCTAGTAAAACATAAGGCTTCAAGCTGGTGCTTTGAAGTTTTCGTAGCACTGATGTTGATTTTACGAAATAAGGTCGCTAGCCTCATGCACAATGTTCTTTCTTCACCACTGTTATCCTCTGCCTTAGAAAGGTTTTAGGAGTACATCGTCTGGGCATCTAACTCGGGACCACGTATATGGTTGGCAGGTGTTCTATCGCTAAGCCATCGACACATATTGTTCCATCACAAACAAGTAAATTCAGCATAATACTAGGCAAACTGGAAAGCATGTTACCAAATATATTCATCTGTAGAGGGAGAGAGAGAGAGAGGGAGAAAAGTGGGATCTATAGAAACCTGTCTTCGATGACATCGAGTTGACTGTGATAATATATTGAACTAAGTGAAAGAATACAGTGGTTGACGAAATTTCACCGAAGTTTTTCAATGAACTTGACATTCACCTATAGTTATAGTCTACAAAACGAAATAGCTCTTAAGTACTCTAAGATTTTCCAATAGTTTTCTAGCTGATATCAATTCATGATGAAATCCTGTAACTAATCAATCGAATCCTGCAGACCAACACTTCTATAGCCTGTGAACTTGAAAATTGCACTTTATGTATCTAAACGTTTGTATTCTCTTTATGTCCATCCTGTCTATGGATGATTTAATTAAATTCGATTGAAAATCTCATTCGCCTTACATTCTAATTTACAGCTTTGGTGTAGGTAAATATGTGAAAATAACTTGATATTGTCGTTTTCCTCGGCACACTATCCCACACTATTCTTAGTCATATGCGTTGGTGTCAGTAGAATGCTCGTGGACCACGCAGGTGCTCAGGCATCGATCCCAGACCACCACCTCGCACTTCTCAAACCATATACAAAATATTTGTATATGTGAATGCGATTGTACAGCTAAGTGAATGAATTCGCCGAAATCAGAGACTCTTCGCTGAATTTCTTTGTTCTTATACTCATATCTGAATGGGTATTTTCCGGGGATACAAGCTCTATTTAATGAAAATTCATTGTGGCTGGTTGTGCTCACAATGATTCCATATATCACAGCAGGTTTGTATAGTGCCAGTTGCACCCAGATTTTCAGAATAAATGTGTCACTGCCTAAAATTCAACCTACAAGTTACTTCACTAATTTTAAACACTGAAGACTATTCTCTAAGTGTCAATAGTGGGGGAGAGGAATTTGTTGACCAAAGCATTTTATCTTAAACTGAAAGCAGCTTATCTACATGCCACTTTATATCTTCATATGTAACTTTTACTCTAAATGCTACTTTACTTTATTACATTTGGACAGCTTGTTTCTGTCATTGACATACCTTTGAAAGGTTATTGTTCTGATGATTTTCTAGGCGGTTTAAACTGATTCAGCTCTCTCCCTTAGTTGAGTCAAACTGAGTCACACTACTGATCAGCTCGATCTCGAATGAGCAATGACACGTGTCTGATTCCCCACAAACTGGAAGATATGCAACTGAAAAGCAACAAGTTGACAGAAGACACATCCAGAGAAGACAGGACTTCAGATGAGCATAGAGCAAACAGAGGTAGGTGATGAATATTCATGGACAACAACGACAGCTGACAACAACCAGGCATTATAAGTGGTAGAAACCTGAAAGAAGCAACCTCCTCCACCTAAATGCCTACCTACCTACCATGGAAGCGTTGTTCTCACTACAGACGGACGGAATTGATAAGGATATCAAAGCGAGGATCATCGAGAAAGCAAGGGTAGCTTTAATTAATCTCAAGTATGTGTGGAGGTCAACACTCAGCATGTAAAATAAGATACGGATTTTTAGCTCCAATAGGAAGTCAGTGCTACGTAATACATGGATCAGAGACTTGGCGCATCATATGGAGCATAAAGAGAACTTCATTAACAGCTGTCTTCGCTCAGTACTAGTCAAGATCAGATGGCTAGAAAAGATCAGCAACAGGATCTCTGGCAGTGAGCAAATCAACCAAGAATCGATTACGCAACAAATCTGCAGGAAGAAATGGAGATGGATTAGCTGGTCATACTCTGAGAAAACAAACCATCAAGTGACATCAGTAAACAAGCCCTCAAGTGAAATTCGAATGAGAAGCGACGAGCTGATCGTCCAAGGGTGACTTGTAGTAGGTCATGTGAAGAGGAGATGAAAGCATGTGGGCAGACCTGGAGCCAGATGAAAACGTTGGCAGAGAACCGAACGCAATGGAGACGTTTGGCTGAAGCCCTATGTTTCTCTAGGAATTAAAGGAAATAATAATAATATTACAAGTGAGCGAGCGAATTGGCTATGCGATGCTCAGGTTACTTAGGTCTGACTAACAAACACTACTGCTTAATGTGAATGGTACCCAAATACTGTCAAGTGTGTCGGTGGCACAGCGGTTACTACTCTCACCGATCATAATGCAAATGGTCTGGGGTTCGATTCCCTACCGATGCAGCCTGCTGGATTTGGTCTACCAATATCACATGTTGAAAATTCCATACTTCTACCAAAAATATGATGTGGAATCAAGCTGCAATCAAAAGAATACTTCAAGCCTCTAGCTTGAAGCCGCCTTATGTTCCATTGGGAACGTAACGAAATTAGTAATAATATTAATAATATTTATAACAGAACAAATTTCAATGAGAAATACTTACATAACACAAGGATAATAGTACTCAATCCAATCTGATCAATTCCTCTGGTAATCATCATAATTATATGTGTAATTTCCAAAATTTTGATCACCACATTTATTTGTATGTGACACCAAACTGTTCTAGCCAGACCTGATTAATGTCTAGTTGAGTTAATTTATGCAATTCATTATTTATTATTAAGTAGAAATTCATCTAGTGATTGGTAGTCACACTGACGCGCATACACATCGTATTCGTGTGCATACACACACACGTACAGATACGAACATACTCACATATGCGTGCACAAAAGTGCTTATCTAAAGTTCAGTGATTGATATACGATTTCCACTGTCCTATACAGCTAAGGTTATAGTATATAGATAGAAACTTTCAATCTATATAATTCATTTATTATTTACCAACGTGACAAACCAAATTGTATGCGTATTGTATGTATGTCTGTTTGTATGTATGTATGTATGTACTATCTGAGGTAACAGAACAGCGCAGTGCACTTGTATCTCATGACAGAGTTTTGTTTTTGAACGATTTGTTCAGAGAAAACAAGTTGGCTGTCTTGTTTTTATATGGAACTAATGAGGTCTGACATGTGGAGGATAATACAGGTCACAGTTAGTCAAAATTAAGTTACTCGGTTATGGATAAGATTTTATTTTGATAAGTGACACAGTGGTGTTATACAGTAGGTAGTATTAATTGATACGACCACGTTTCAAGCACAAACTATTGCCACTCATAATCATACCAAGCCACTCACTCACACAACGTTTTATTATTATTATATCTTTTAATTCCTAGAGGAGCATAGGGCTTCAGCCGCGCGTCTCCATTGCCTTCGGTTTTCTGCCAACTTTTTCGCCCCGCTCCATGTCTGCCCACATGCTTTCATCTCCTCTTCACATGACCTACTACAAGTCACCCTTGCACTGAAGACCAACTCGCCGCTTCCCTTTCGGGTTCCACTCGACAGATGGCTTGTCTAGGGATGTCACTTGATGGTTTGTTTCCTCAGAGTATGACCAGCCAATCCATCTCCATTTCTTCCTGCCTATTCGTTTCACAATCGGTTCCTAGTTGGTTCGCTCATATCCAGGTATCCCTGTTTCTGATCTTTTCTGGCCAGCCATCTGATCTTGAGTATTGAGCGAAGACAACTGTTAATGAAGGTCATTTTACTTCATTTATATACATTAGTGGAGTTGATGATTAGACATTTGAATAAAATTCAATATAGGATAATGAACATTCAGAAATAATAATAATATGAGCGTTATTGATCAATTATACTCAAATGGGAAATAAGACGAGTGTTTTTATAGTCATAATAAGTAACTTATTAGAATGTTGTGGTGCTTTTTTTCCTTCACGTTCTTTAGTGAAACATATGGCTCCAAGCTAGTGGCTTGAAGTTTCTGTAGCAGTGTTTATTTTATAGGATGAGGTTGCTAGCCTCATGCCCAACCTTTCCTCTTTACCAGCATTATTTCTGGCTTAGCGAGGTAAAGGACTGCGTCGGTCGTGATGTACATAAATTGAAATGAAACAGAATTTTACGATTATTTATTATCCTCTTCTGATTTGACCGGTGGTATTAGTAGAGGGAATAAAAGTCATATTTGAATCGGAAAATGAACGAGGAGAATTAGCTATGCTAGATTGTTAAATCAAACGAATAAAAGAAGGTAAACTACACACTAGTGTTTATAGAAAACCAACACATTCTAATAGATATTTAGACTTTAATTCATCTCATCCGTTAACTGTTAAGACAGTCTTAGTTAAGTGTCTAACAAACCGAGCAGTAACACTAAGTAGTACAAAATAGACCTAAATGAAGAATAAGTAAAACAGATAGAAGAGGCGTTGGTGTTGAATAACTATCCTATAGAGTTCATTAGTAAGATCAGTAAAGGCCAAAAGCGAAATGAAAAAAATTGTGAAACTAATAATGACAGCATGTATAACAGAGATGATAAGTCATCCACTGTTATTACATATGAGTAGGGGACATCTGAGACCCTACGTAGGACTCCTAATAGAGCAGGAATTAGAGTGGCATTCAAACATACATACATACACCCCAACCAGTTTGCTTATAAACATAGTAGGTGTACGTTAGATGCCCCTGTTGTCCTACATCATAGTATAGTCTCTAGTTTAGATAAAGGAGCTAAATACGTTCGCTGTGCCTTCCTTAATTACACATCTGCATTTGACTCTGTTCCCAGGTCTCTCTTGCTAAGTAAGCTTGCTGCAACACAGGCTGAGGGCTGGATAAATAAGTGGTTGGATTCCCATTTTTCTGATAGGAAGCAGTACACCGTCTACAATGGAAAGTCCCCTACTACCTCACTTACTTTAGCTGATGTTCCTCAAGGTGCTGTTCTTTCTCCTTTTCTGTTTTCGTTTTTCTTACATGACTTGCCTCATTCATATGTAGCCACTTTTGTTAAGTATGCCGATGACCTCTCGGTTTCTATGCCTGTAGACTCTCAGTCAGATTGCTCCAAATTAAATAACTTTCTGTCGGAAATTAGTCAGTGGTCCTCTTCAAACGGTCTTAAGCTAAATCCATCTAAATGTCAGGTAATCAATTTCACATTCAGACGTAAACGCAACCTACAGCGACTAGTTAGCTCACATGGCCCCACTCTCATTGACGACATAGAGGTTGAAAATACATCAAATGTCAAGTACCTTGGTCTGAGGTTTTCCACCGATCTTTCCTGGTCTTCTCACATCTTGCTAGTTACTAGACTAGAAAGATGTTTCGCTTAACGTTCTACATTAGGAAATTTAGGCAGTCTGGTATAAAGCAGTCTTTGCTTTCTCAGTTTGTCAATTCTTGTATTCTACCCACCCTCCTTTACTGCTCCCCATTAATCTTTCCTGGAATACTTAAGAAAGACTTTGCTTTGCTGAGAAGGGCACTAAAAGCCATTAGTAGGCCAAGTGAGATATCGTTAAACCAACTGGTGAACACTATTGTAGATAGACATATAATGTCATGTAAGAAACTAGCGAATACAATATTGTCAGACCCCGAGCATCCTCTCTATACGCAGCTCTCTCCTTGCATCTTTCATCTGGTAGAACTAGAATCTATAGCTATAGGAGGCTATATGCTAGGACTACCAAGTACAAAAACTCCACAATACCATATCTGGCACAGCTGTTATGTGATGAGAAATCCGTTGGGTATGACACGATCAACTTACTGCGTCACTCTAACAAATAGTCTCATTTAGTTTTTGTTTTCCTTTCCTCGTTACTATTACACTGTTGTTCTCATCCTCTATCACACATCAACTTTATATTTCATATCCGGTGGTGCATTGTTTGAAATGTAAACTCTACGCTGTTTTTTTTTAATTTTTATTTATTTTTTATATTTTTTTGGCGTTGTTTTTTTTGATTTATTTATTTTTTTATTTTAAAAATCTTATATAATTTATGAGGTAATTAGATGCAATATACTGTAATGCACGCTGAAAATTCCATACCTGTACCGCAAATACCGTTTAGAATAAAGCTGTTAATATTATTATTATTACTATACAAACTCACTAAGGCAAGTAGAAGCTCTGTAGGCTAAAAGACATGGTGGACCCATTTAAACAAAATATAATTTACAAAATACGTTGCAATGGCTGTGAGTTAAGCCAACTACATAGGTCAAACTAGTAGATCGGGGGTAGTCAGAGTGCCTGTCGGAACATATGAATTTAGCTAAGTTAAGAATGACTTACTCCGAGAAGATAAGTAATTTAGAAAAAAGCTTAGCAATTGCCCTGCATGCATTAACACACACGCATACAATAGGGTGGTGGGAGAGAGTTAAAATTTCAAGAAGTATTATAACTAGATGGAGTGACAGAATGATTACTGAATTGAGTCTACACCCAACACAACGCATGCAATCGAAGTAAATCAACGCAAATACCAGAGATAGGGAAGATATTATTGCCAGTCAATTCAGATGAGAATAATAAATAATCTTAAAGTTCTATTTCGATTCTATTGACATACACCATTACATTCTAACAAGTTACTTATGTTGACTATGAAAACCTGATATGTATCCATTTATATATTTATGTGTGTGTGTGTATGTTGGTCTCTCTTTCTGTTTGCTCTCTTAGTCTGTGACCATTTCACTTGTATGAACCTGTCTCCTTTAGCAATGTATATTCTCCTTATATTATAAATAATATGAGTGTTTGTTGACAGTCCGTAGCTTGGTGACATATATCCATATATGGTGGTTGTTGACATGTCTGCTATATTTCGCTATGTATATATGGATCGATACTTCATTATAATTAGCCATTCATGTTAAGACTGTCTAATGATTGTTCACACCCTTGTCATATATATTTCGGTCTCACAATTTGTGTGACTTACACTGACTTACTTACTTTGGTGTGATACCACTTGTTGCTTCTCCTTGTGTTAGGAAAATAGAAGTATCATCGCAAACCTAGTGGTCTTCTGATTTCCGCCTTCTTGCGTCAGGACTATTAGTTTCTCGACCAGTCCATAACAATAATTTAGCGACGAGTACATAACAATTTGGCGACGGGGAAAACTACTATTAACCACTCAGCAGCAGCAACATAACAAAACCCTCGTCTTATTTCCTATCTGACTGTAATTGATCAGTAACACTCATATTATTATTATTATTTCTCAATGTACATTATCCTATATTGATTTTATTCAAACATCTAGTCACTTCCACACATGCAGATAAATGAAGTGAAACGTTGTGTCAGTGAGTAACTTCATATGATTCCGAACAATAATTTGTGCTCAAAACGTTGTCATCAGTTAATATTACTGTATAACCCCACTGTGTGACACCTTATCAAAATAAAATCTTATCCATGATATAATTATACTCTGCCACAGTGGCCAAGTTTCATACTGATATCAAATAGTTAGGATTGTTGGTTTAAGTCATCAGTACGTTTCAAAATTTCATGAATAGTCTAACTGCAACTGGAATTAGAAGATTCGTAAATATTGTCAAGGGTTGTATAATATGAAAGA